TATATATATATATATATATATATATATATATATTATATATTTGCCACAGTCTATGAATAGACATAGAGCCACCAGAAACCATGGAACACAAAAGAAGGTACAGAAATAGTAACAGAAAACACAACACAGTCCATGGTTTCGTCAGAGGGCGAGATGCTACCCGGTTGCCCAAGCCGAAGTAGTAGGGTATTGACTTAGGGGACACCATCCCGAGCCTTTGGCTGAATTACTTGCCCGCAAGGCAGCGGAGCGAATTCAGGGAATCGCACCCATTGAGAGCCGGTGACTGATTGCTCAGTTCATACACATTTCGTTTGTTCCTTTGTCAAACAGGGGCCCAATGCTCCCCAGAATTACAGCACAGTTTCTGGAATACAATGCTTCACCAGGATGAAGCAATGGGCAGTGACTATTTACTGGCGAGTCACGTCCGCTACGTCACAGTGTTGTTAAACGGATATGTGACTTTTTATAGGGAGAACGCTTGCTAGGCGAAAACCCACCACCTCCTGGAACACTGCCGCCGAACCATTTGCTGGAAGGGTGAAATCCAGAACCACCCAGTTGGCACCACGAGGACGTTGTTCGGCAAGCCAGCTTATTATACCATGTGCTAGATAGTTGTTGAAACAACGTGTATCTAAAAATGCATCCAAGAGATGTTTACAGGGAAACATTGGATTTATCGCCAGTGCTGATGTTTAGGGTGTTTAACACTCATGGACGGATGCATAAGGATCGCGACACGCCTCGACCTTGCTTGATCATATCAGGTCTAGATAGTGGGTGTCGAACCCTGGACCATTGAGATGTTAGTTGGCATCTTTAGCCACCGAGTCACGACGGGCAACACTTGAGACAACGGTTAGTAACTCATTGGAGGGTCATTTTAAGTACTCATTGTGTAATTGGATTACGACGCGCAATCTCCATGGGATGTTGGCCGAAAATTCCTCCTTGAGATTGCGCATCGCAATTAACATCTTAATGGTCCTAAGTTCGAAGCCTACTACTTATACATTATGAGATCAAACAGCGGACACTGATTATAATCGCAAACAAATGTACCAGTAGCGTATGATGAGAAGCAAGAGTGGTTGTGCACGGTGTAGCAGTTGACCGCTTCGTAGTTTTTGTAGTAGGTGTTACGCTCGCTCAAGCCGAAGTAAGGAGCTGACTTAGAGAGCACCACCCAAAGCCTTTAACTGCTTAGCTTGTCCGCAAGGCAGTAAATGAATTTAGAGAATAGTGATCATTGGGACTCGGTGACTAATTGTTCAGCTCATACGCTTTTATTTAGTCGAGTTACCAAACTAGTACTCATTCCTCATCATTGACCGTTGTGTCAAGCGTTGCCCGTCGTGATTCCTTGGCCAAAGTGGTAGAGGTCCCATATAATAACATCCCAATAGTCCCGGGTTCGAGGTCTGCTATCTCTACCTAGTGTGATCAAACAAGATCGAAATGCGTTTTGCGGAGTAGTGTTTTCTTGCGGCCGACATACAACTTATATCTACTTCATCATTTACGGTCCCAGTAATAGATTTGGCGAAGGTTCGCTTCAACGGAAATCGCGGTCCAAATTGAGATGGCGCATCGCAATCCACTCACACAATGTGTACTTCAGAATGACCCTCCAGTCGATCCTACAGTATTACGGCCAACATACTCCCTTGCTATGTTGAGGACACCGCATTTTTTATTTCATAATTACTCAGTTTCTCTTATACTGTACCACTGCAGTGACGATGAGACCGGGGCTCTCAGTATTCCGTGAGCTTAATAGCAAGCGCCTGCAGATGTTTTCGTTTGTGGTTGTCGAATACTCGGATGTGATCGGATTCCAATGTTGCCCATTTCTCCGCCTTTGCTTACGTGACGAACTCAGTGGTCATATGTCCAAATCCTGGACGTTAAATCAAACATTTTCTGATTACGTCCTCAGACAGGTATATTGAATTTCAGCCTATGGTCGCTGTTAGAGAACCGCTTGCATTGGTTCAGTTACACTTTGCAGCTGCATAAACACTGACACAAATCATCAAACGGGTAGTCACCTTTCTGGAGCCTTGGATTTCCTCGACAACATCGGACGGTGGAGTAGCTTCAGCTACACTACCTGTGAATCGGAGGCATACGCATCATTTTCTCAGTCCACCGATCGGTCGTGGTTGCAGTCTATGCCCTAACTGTGTATCGTTTTCATTAATGGGGAGAACAGGATCGATCAAGTTGACGACTCTATGTGGTGTCTACGTGGACCAGCGACCATCTTCTGTCATCACCTATTTCTCTCTCTTCTGTTTCACTTTTCTCACGTTTTTTTAAAATTTTCCTCACCTGACTTCGTTCTCACTACAAAATGAGATGTGTAGTATTCCGTGCATCGCTAGATAGTATCGGTAAGTTGGAATCCCCTGTGTGCTGTCCGCGGTACGTAGGTCTCAATTGTTCGGACTACCTTGAAATGTCACCGAGTTTCCACAAACGACTCACAGTTATGCCATGAAGCAGTTGGCAATTCTGGATCAGCTCAATCGGTGACCACCTCCGGTCTGCTATTTGGGAATTACGCGTGATTTAAGCGCCATAGGAGATAAATGCCTTGGTGGTTGAACGCATGTTGTTTCTGGTGACACTAAAGCATTTAGCACCGCTCGCACGAATGGTTTAAAACAAATCCCCTCATCCAATCGATGGGGGAAGTGTTGCCTCGCTGGGTGTAAACATTTCGATTGGTCATGGGATCTATGTTTAGTCCGGTTTGTGATATCGTGGAACAGATGTCCCAGCAAGGTGTGGTACCCTTGTTTGGCATGTAGCCTAACGGAAACGGTGCTATTGGCACCCTCATACCAATCGGCGTACTGTACAACATCCTTTTGTTGGTCGTATAATTGAAAGTATCACTGTATCCCACGTATAGGAATAACATTGCCCTCGTCATTCGTAACCGCTTGTTTCTTAGGTGGTCCCGCAAGCCGAGCACAGCGTATGCTGGTTCTGGGTTTGCAAAAGGCCGCAGAACAAACTGCACGTCAGAAATCTATCAACTCGATGGAATCGGCTCCGCCGGGGGCATCGACACCAGATCAAAAACAGTTGTCCGAGGATCGGATTGCTACACCTCCACAAAACCATGCCGTTGTTGAAACTGATTCCCCTTCAGGTACGTTTTTCTTTAGTTATTTTATTTTTTCTCGCTGCTCCCCTCTGATCTCGCGATTTTCCATGTAGTCCTCTAGCTATCTGGCCACATTCTAGAGCGAATTCATTTTTTCGCTCATCCATGTGAAACAGAACCAATTTCGGCTATCGCCTATCTAGAAACTTGGATCTACACACTGGATAAATATCCTGGTGATGAGCACTTGACCGACTTGACTCAAGACGCAACTCCACATACGGTCCACAAACACCGGATCGTCGTGTGTGAGCAGGGAGATACAACCGCTCACAAAAGCTCAGTAGATGCTTCCGGTTGCTTGTGTGGTTATCTGCAACTCGTCAGTTGCACATTATATATCAATAATGTGCTTAGGCCAACAGCAACGAAAACTCTAATTGCACAGGTTAAGCCAGAGTAACGGGGTTGATATCACTGCCTTTTGATGGTTGAAGTAGCCCGTGACTAGGATAAGAGCTGGACAAACTTTTTCTCCCTGTTTATGTATCTCATTGGCGATCTCTTCCAGTCTCATTAATCGGTGCCACCTGACTGATCGTCTCCATCGCGACGAAACTGGACTTTAACATGGTGCGATAGTTTGCGGACCTCCGTGAACCGATGAGCTACTCTTGCTGACACTTTCCAAGTGCCTTCAGAGCCACTCCTACCAGACAAGTTAGAAGTCGGACTAGGTTCCATAATGCAATTCTCTTCTGAGGGGTCGATGACTATCTTTCCCTTAAAACAGATCTACGGGTCATAAGCCCACAACTTGAGTCGCGCACAGCACTAGCACCACGCATTTTCTCTTACGGCTGGAGGGCATCTTCCTGTGGTTCACTACTGCCCGCCTTCTGCCAGACAACCCTTGGTCAGATTGGTGCAAACCCTTTAACTTCCGCTTACGTATGACTGGTCGCAGGCGGTTAAAATACTACGGTCATAAAACACATGTACATTGTTATAAAACTTCAAAGACTGTGTGTAACGGACCTCAAACAGATCCCAATGGGTCTGCAACCACACTCTGGAACTGGACTTGCTTCGCACTGCGTTGTGGGTCAGCCTGTTAAGTCGGAAACTCCGGATGGAGTCTCAAGTGTGCCTCCGTGTCCCCCACTGCCTTGTGCGTCAGACTGTTGGGTCGAAGGCTAGAGGTAGGGTACCTCAGACGAAACTCTCGGAATGAATAGCAGGAGAGTATCACCTACCCTCTCAACCCCCCAGAAAAGACTCCCTATTTTTCTGGTTTTTCTTCCCCGTCTATTGAGCAAGAGACTGTCGCTGACGCCATTGATACATGTAGCTCTTCTGTCAACTCTAGAATCTCATTTCACATTGACTCTTTTGACGTCCGCACCCTAGGTCAGATCAGCTAGTAGGTAGCACTGACTTACTCTTCACTCTCTTGCTATTGATGTGTGCTGCGTCTCCGAAACACGCGTCGTGACGAATCTTCGGCTCCCTGGTTCTGAATATGCCGATAATGTCCACACAAAATGTGGGACATTCTCAGTGATTCATCAAGAACACCAGTCTGAGGCAAACAATTGTTTTCAATGATTCATCTACGGGCCGGTACAAATCATATAAGGTTAAAATACGAATCGAAATGCACGGTGATTGGTTTATATGTAGGTCAATGGTTAAACAGCAGATAGTTGGTCGCTGTCTTGCACACATGCACACACACAGATCGGTAGGCGTTACGTAATCAAACTGATGACGCCGGTGTCAGAGTGACGGTTAGATTGACTGCTGTTCGGCCAGGGCAGACTTTGCACTTGAACAAACTTCTTTTGTGAGCATAGCGTAGGTTGGAATATTCGGATCACAGACCTTTTGAATTGTTCAAGGGGATCTGGTAAATCACAGCGAATGCGTTCGGAAGATTAACGCTGTGACCTGATTCGGATAGGTAGGAGAAAATTCCGCTTGCCAAAACCCCAGTGCCTCCGTTCGCCAATCATTTAGGACTATGTTCCTTAATGCGATGTGGCGAGCTGTTCGACCTATGTATGTTGCATCACAGGTGCACTCAAATCGATAGATAATGTAAGAAGAGGTCAGCTTCGATGGTCTACCCTTATTGCACACAGGAATAAGCGGTTTGTTGGCAAATGTATACCGCCGTTCCGCAGCTGGAAAAGTGTTCCTTACTGACTGCGTCAACTTTATTGTTATAAGCTCCACAATTATATCGCATTTGAAACAAAGCGAATGAGGAAAGGTTACTTATCTACTACTTGCTTAACGTCCGATGTTAAGCTGCAAGTTGCGCTGTATATAAATCTGTCCGGACAGCAATTTTTGCGTAGCGTGTTCTGTATGGATTTCATTTCATCGTCTAGAGCATCTTCAGAACAGATCTTTCGAGCCCTCGACGTGAGACAACGCATTAAGTTGCGCTTGTATTTAAGCAGCACGAAACTACTGAAGTTTGTATATTGGCCGGTCCACGTTTTCTTTCTGTTGATTCTCCTTAATAGGGAATTATCAGTTTGCTTACTCAGGTGTACATTCAGAAAGGAGAGCTGGCCCTCTTGTTCCAATTCGTATGTGAACTTGATTTCCAGATGTGCATTGTTGAACTACACCAGTATATCTTCTACACTTAAATCCTTATTGGTCATGCAAAAGATATCGTCCATATAGCGATAGTAAAGGTCGAAACGATCTATGAGTGATTCATTTTCTAGTTTGGCAAAAAAAATATTCGCCAGCGCTGGTCCGGGTGGAGACCCCATTGCGACTCCGTCATTCTGCCGGTAATAGATGCCGTTATAAAGGAATTGGACATTGTAAGTGCATCTCAACAGTAATTCCTTCAGGCTTGGTAAGGGTATACCTAGATGAATATCGTTGTCGTGCACATAGTTGCATAAGTACTCTATGGTTTCTAGAAGCGGCACATTCGTGAATAGTGAATTTACGTCTAGTGAGAACATTTTCTTCTCTTGTAGGTTCCCATCCTTAATGTGCTATACGAATGTAAAACTATCACGTACACTATGTCGAGCAATTCGCTTTCTTATGGGTTCCAACATTTCTGCTAGTCACTGGGCTGTGGGATGGTACACCGAATTTGTCATGGACAATATTGGCCACAAGGTTACACCTACTTTATGAACTTTTTGGAACCCATACATTCGCGGTATAGATGTTCCGACTGGTCTTAAACTTTCAAATATGCAAGCAGGTATTAACTCGCGGGTACCTGGATCTTTTAGGCACTTTGTCAGGTTTTTCTCCGCCTTGTCCGTTTGGTCCTTCTCGCCCACTTTTACAGAAAACTTTGTTTGGTCTTGGAGAATCTGATTCATTTTTGAAGTGTAATCACTTCTATCATAACTATACCACTACCTTTATCCGGCTTGCATACGACTATGTCTTTGTTCTTCTTTAACTCGTTTAGGGCTGTCAGATGTTTACGTGTAGTCGGGCCACGTTGATTTGCCTGATATCTACGATATTGGTCACAACAACTAACCAATGAGGACTTGAAGCATTCGAGCGCATCAGTTGATAGCGCGGCTAAATCATGCGTTTGTGCCAGCAAGTTTTCGAATTGGGTCTCGATATCTAGCTGACGTTCGTTACGTTTAGGATAACAGAATTTGGTACCGAGTGACAATACTTCAAGCACACACTTCGCTTCCCTAGCGATACTGAATCAATGGCTCAAGATATTTACAGTGTTGGTATTGCCCTCAGCAGACATGCTGAAGGCAATCTACTTGACTAGATACCTGTGAACAGCCGCATGTGTGCGGTTCGACTTCGGGGTTAATAAGCACCATATGAAGGCAAGTTGCTTTTCATCCCCTCCCTTTTATGCAGTTCGGATGGTACCAAAGATGTTTTCTACCACCATCTTTCATGGAATACTAACATCGTGATTATTTCTGGTGACTTGAATGCCCAAGTGAGTAGTCTTTCAGACTCTGAACAACTACTAGGAGGTCGTTTCGGAGTTGATATACGCCGAAGAGACAATGGTGATCGATTCCTGCAACTGCGCCGATCACAATATTTGTATTGGCAGCACTGCTTTCTAACACAGACAATTAGATGGAGTCACCTGGCGCCCACCGAATTTCTCGATGACTTGGGCTTGGACTTGGACAAATGGCGCAATCACTCCAGGACTGTCGGTCAATTTGGAGCGCGTCCTGAAACGACGACTGAAAGGAATGGCAACGGACAGTTAAAGCCAGCGCTACCAGGAACAGCCGAGTGCTATTCCAGCTTATCCGAAACACGGGTCCGAGAAAGCCATCAGTCAGTGAGATGAGAAAGATGGTCGGCCGCGTCGACTAGCCCGTTAGGCGGAACATTTTGAAGAGATTTCAGCAGGTCTGCTCCGACATTGCCGCTTGTTGAATCACCTAAGCTGACGTAGAAAGTTGATACCGCACCCACTTAAGAAGAGATCCGACATGAGCTTTCCGTGTTGAAACGAATCAAGGCTTCTTTAATCGACGCTCTTCCTACATCTTTGCTGAAAAACAGAGGTGACTGTTTCTTCAATGAACTTGCTTCTCTTTTAAACACAATTTGGGACACTGAAGAAGTGCCTTTAGATTGGCGACTGTCAGTTGCCGTGCTTAACTTCAGAGAGGTCAGCTGACAGTGTGCGAAAATCATCGAGGTGTTAGCGTTCTTCCCGTTGTCTCCAAACTTCTGACGGGTATCATTCTTCGACAACTTACTGGTCCCAGAGTGACTTTCGCGTTGGTCATGACTGCGTGGATCACATTTACTCTGTCAAGTGTTTGAGCAGAAAGGAACTTACAAACGATTGACTGTAATGGTTTTGCTTGGTCTAGAAATTTCGAGCTTGTTGATCGTGCTAGCTTGTAGCACGGTTTATCCGTGTGGGGCGTGCCACCTAAACCCCTTACTCTTCTGAATTTTCCCCATATTTCCTTTCCTCTACAACTGTATGATCGAAATGATCATGAATGACTCGGTTCTTTCACTCTTCCGGAGTGGAAGTTCTGCCTGGCAGGCAACCGACTGATAAACCTCGATTATGCGGACGACATTGCTTCAGACTCGATGGATGCACTACTGAACAGACTGGCGCATAGTGGTGCATGCTTCGGCATGTGCTTTGCACCTTCAAAGTGCCCAGTCCTGTTGCAGGACTGGGCCGATACGCTACGGGTTATAACTGTCATCGAAGAGCCATTGGAAGTGGTGGTTCGGTTCACTCACCTTGGTAGCTGTGTCATCTGTGGTGGTCATATGACTGAGGAAGCTACTTCGCATATCAGCAAATCCCGTGTGACTTTCCATAGACTCAACCATCTATGGAGACGGCGGGATATCAGCGTATCAGTGAAAGGTAGGGTGTTACTGTATGGATCAGAGACCTGGCCAGTTCGCGGTGAAGACATTAAACGCTTGGTCGTTTGGGATCATCAGTGTTTACGGAGTATCGCTTGCATTTAGTGATAAAACCGGGTGAGCAATGCTGAAGTCGAGTCTTTGTTGTATCTTATCCACTTAGCTAGGTAATGTCCTCCGTATTCCCGTCGACTGACTTCCAGGTTGAGCGAGACCGCGAAGTGGTCAGTCGATTATGTGATTGGTCTATGTGGTCTTCATGGATGGTGGCCGCGGGATGGACCCCATCAGTGGTTAGAGACTATTAGACATGATGCAGTCAGTGGGGTTCCTGTTTTTGGTTCATTAAATCTAGCTGTTAATTTTCATTCCATCCTGCTAACTTTAACGCAACTCAATTCTAGTTACATTCAACCTGACTTTTTTGCTATCGTTATTGTTATTCTAGCGATGTGAGTTGTGGCAACTGGATCCACCGCATCTCGATGCCTGTGTGTGGATTTAATGATTCGAATCCAACAAGTGCAACAGCACCGCACTATTTACTACCCTTTTTACTCTACTGTTTGTACACGGGCATTCGCCCATTATCTTTCCCATGATAACCGACATGTAGAGGACAGCAGTATTGTAGCCTAAATAAGCTGCGCAGTACTCTTGCGTAAACGCATCGGAGATCTCTCAAGCGGTCCGTCACACTGTCGCGTCACTCCTGTAAGACTATAAGCCTAACTTAACTTCTGTGGAAATGAGGTTGATCTTTAGCGTTATCATCCCCACGTGCCTCCGATAAAATTTGTCTAGGCAGTTATTCAGTCGAAACTCAGCTCGTGTGGAAGCGTATCATCCGTGCTCATTCCCCCAAATGTCGGACGAGGTTTATGAGTGATTTGGATGAAATGCGCGCTTGGTGTGTGGACGGTGTTTTGTCCCTCAGATAGCCGAGCCAATTATCATGGTTGTGTGTCAACGAAGCATCAGTTCAAATCACTGTGTTGTTGTTGAAGATGGGCATTGAGGATCTACCAGTTCCATTCATTGCTTCACATAGCATCATGACGTTTGCTATCGAGATAGAATACAACTACCTCACCATTATTTTCCCAATTCGCTCTAAGCGCTATATCAATAATCGACGGGTTCACTCGGACTGACGAGAATTTTATGTCAAAAGCGAAACGTTGCCCACAAACTATACCAATCGGTTGCTTTCAAACCTTTCTGAAGTCATGAGTTCTCGATCGGTTCCAAGGATTTTTCAAGATGTTGAATAACCTCATCATTACATTTTTGGACTTTCAGAACACTAAAACATCGGACTGGTCACTACAGAAAGGTTGCACGTGAGCTAGAGAGAGCAATTTGCGACGGTTCCCGGAACTGGTGCTGCCCCAAACACGTGCGGTCAGTTGAGTCATAGGTCAACGAAAACTCGCTTATCAAACAGCTAGCGTGCATTGGGGTTCTAGTTGCATCTCAAGACCGATTCCACTCTGTTTTATGCACGTAGGGTGTAGTTTATTGATCGCAATTGTAGCTCAGGCAGCACGTTGTCATCTGTTCGTGCGTAATTGTTCATCACTTTATCTCTGCAGACCTGACACATCTTCGAACAATACATTAATTTTCATTTATTTAATCACTTTGCGAATTTCTTTCCACTCACACTTCGTGATTCGTTTACGAAATGGGCCGATTTTGACTCAACGATTTTCACTTTTATCCACCCTCAGGTATTATGCGGGGCTTCTATAGTCGAAAGAAGTCACAGCGGGTATCATTTGCTGATCATCCAGTCGTGTACACTTTTGGGCCCTCTCCAAATTCGTCTAGAGAGTCCAGCGGATCCGGTTCCCCTGTCGGTCGCTGTTCCGCTTCGGATACGGCGACAGAAGGCTCATCACCCACACTAAACAAGGAATCTGATTCACACCCACCTCTTTCTGCAGACTCAGGCGCCCCTAGTTCCCCATCATCTTCCTTGCCAGAAGCCCCGGCGGGACTGCAGCCACTCCAATCATGCATCGAGCCTTCACAGCCTCTTCTGGACAAGTGAGTCACGTGTGCAGCATCCTCACATCAGGGCCTCAGTCATAGTGTTGAACTGACACGGCGCTTGGACACAGAGTGAAGTTCACCGCCAAATAGAGACCAATCACACTACTCATTACAGCAAACGTTCGTGTGCAACCCACTTCTGGTCACCTTTCAGTGACCTGAGATTTTGAGCAGCCCCTGCACAAGTAACTACGCTTCGCAACTGAACAAGCGCCGGTGTTCGTTGAGCTCGTGTCTATCCGCCCACCACTTGATAAGTAAATATGAGTGAGGCCCTTTGTAGTTGATTGTTTTCAACAATACGTAGCTGTACAATGTTTGGTGCGTATAACTGTTTTTGTTGAACTCGTACCACTCAAGTAACGTATGCTCTCATCTAGTGATTCATCGGTAATTCTGAAGTACATTTTTCAGCTTCGCATCTTTGAGGGGCATCTGGGTGCGGCAGGTTGCGCTCCGCCGGACCTTCATCGGTGCCGCAGCCATTCGCAGTATTTAAGTACATCAGGAAGAGGGTGCATTACAGTGAAACTTGCTTCACAAGGCATGACTGTAGACGTTAAAATTTTGTGAATCGTGAGCTTAACAAATTCATTTTGAGCCGATGTGAGCTTCGAGTTGAAGATACATTCCAAACGTTGCCCACTCCAATTACTGCGTTCGAGCTTGAGCTCGCATGTCAAAATGAAACACAATGGATACCTAAAAAAGGATCAATAAACTACCATTCGTCGCGTCAAACGCTATTGCGGAGCTCAACAACCTAACGATGAAAACGCCGACCTGCCACATATTACGTTGCGAATTCCACTCTCGGTCAGTTCAAGCGAATATGAAACCTATCGAGGAGTGCACTATTGTGAGTGAGCAACACTCAAACTCTCCAATTTCGACACGGTCCAGATTATCAGAATGACCAGTAATCCGTGACCCAAACTGAAACTAGGTATCACACAATTCGGAGGTAGTGATAGGCTAACACTTGATGAACATCTAGCCAAGGAAGGCGAAGATAAGCCCACGACTAGATGTCCATTTTACTGATCTTGCTGAGAGTACCTTTTGGGTGTCAATAGAAGCGTTCAGTGACACATGTGAAAGCTTTCATGGATTGCCGGGATTATGCACTCATCTATAGAAGGACCTTACAAAAAGATCCATTCTTCAGCTAATGAATACACTACAGAAAGACGCGTAGCCTCGGGCCAGAAGAGCGAGACGGTCAAAGCAGGTGAAGGAGTAGTGGTTCTCACTGGCAACACTTGGTGTTTGCACCATGCATGCATGCATATGGTCAGCTAAGTGAAATCGTGGCTACTGAGCGATCATAGACAAGTAAGTTTTTATCCGCTTTCGAATCTGGTTTGTTTTCATTCTGGATACAAAACCTCGTGACGCATCGTATCTTTCGTTTCATGTGAGCGGACAGTTAGATAACGGCTTGGATTTCTATACAGAACACGGCCCAATAGAATTCCATTTTATCATGATCTTGATTTTGCAACCACTTAATTTAGCTTGTTGATCGGATAACCGTGATTATGGCG